TAGGTGCAACATTTTGGATGAAAATTATACCGGAAGAGCTACGATAATACGCATGACTACAGACCATTTATAATAATTAAAACAATAATATATATAATTCTTAGGATATTTACAGAAAGACATAAATAGAAAGGATTGCTATTAAAGTTGGCAAAACACATAATTAATATGGCAAAAAATATTGAACCAATATTTAAAATTTGTACAACCTGTTTATTTTTTACCTATTTCTAAGATATATTTATATTTTTGAATCTAATTTTTTTCCTATTAATTTTACCAACATTATCTTTGATTGATTTGGCCACGATTCGTTATATATTTAAGAAAAAATTTGCCATTTTCATATAGCAGTGGCGCGCAAACACAGATACATTATTACATTTTCATTGTCAATAACAACCACCACCACCGACTTGTCTGCAACCATGTTGACAAAATCCATTCAGAAGAGGCTACATACATTTCAAATGGCACACGTTAGATATAATTTTTTTTTTAAAGCATTTCAAATTTTATCTTAGATATTATTGTTAAAAATAATAATTTGAATAACTAGACTATGTCAGATAATAGAGAGTATTGACTCTCTATGATAGCAAATAATCTACATGATAACCGCATGCAATACAGTATTTATCTTGGTATAGACATCTTTGGACATTTACAGTCAAGACGGCAGAATGTTAACGGCCAATGACAGACATCTACTAAGCCCGCTGCCATCGACCTATCATATTTAACGTCCCATCTTTACGGGAAAAAAAAACATGCTAGATAAAACTTAACTACTATTAAAGCACAAGTAATGCATAACAGCTTATGTTTGTATTATGTATTATAGTTTCGGACATTGAAAATATCTTAACTCTAATAATACAAGAAAAAAGAGAGTAAAAGACTACAAAGAAAAATATATGATTAGATAAAGAATGCATAGTTAAGATTGCAATTATTATTATATATATATCTACTTTGAAATAACGTTTTGAGAATTACTACATCTGTTGTACATGTCTTCTGACAACCCTTCATTATCTGTCAGATTTGTCTGGCCACACACGTAAGCTAAACACTAGAAGCCATTTTTATAAGCAAACAAAATTGAAATTGTTATTCAACATCTAGCATGCAGTTCACTACAGAAATACGAAGGTACCTCTAGTCCATTCTCAACTTACATCTACCAAATGTTTAAAATATTTTCCCTACGAATAGGATACTCCTATTAATCATCTACTTTATTTTATAACATTAAATTAAATCTTTACTTTCAAAATGTGTTTACTTAAATCTTGTAAGCCACCCTTCAAATGATAATTATCAACATTATTTTTTACACTATACGTAAAGACACACATAAAATAAAAAAGTACTTTTTAGACACCATTAAAATATTGGCAACGCTTGACCAACTTGTTCGCCTTCCGCCCCCCCCCCCCCCCCCCCCCCCCCTTCCGCCCCCCCCCCCCACCATAAGGCTATGGAATGACTCAAGCTTCATGTTTGTTTCGCATCTTTTTTTACCACCATATTCTGTGTAGACACCATTTCCTTTGATAAATTTGTATTGCGCTTTTATGGCAACTGCTGAAAATACTTGTATATAAATTCTAGATTAATTTATATACTTTCATTCCTCAATGTATTGAATATATGCTAATTATACAGTAATACATAATTAATTATACAGTAATATATAATTAATTATATAGTAATGTATGTAAAATCAAGCATCAACTAGAAGAGAGTTAATTGTTTGGGTCCATTCTTTTTGACCTCCCATGCTGTTTCCCCAAGAGTTTTCTCCATTTGTTTAAATAAACAAGGAAAATATCAAGGATTACTGAATTACTTTTTAAAACTTCATCTTTTAATTCTTTAAAAAAAATTGTTAATTGCAACTTTATTTCAAGAAAAGGTAGCCCTCATACAGGACAAACTACAATCTTTAAAATACATTAATTATTCTTTTATCATTTTTCTATTTCTTGTTTAATATTAGAGCAAGTACAACATCTAATGAAAACTTAGAGATGATCATAATTTGTTAAGTTACAAACAAGTAACCAGCAACAGCATATACTCACACTGAGGTTAAAAATCTCATAATTTAAAAGATAAAAGTTAAATCAAAAATTTTATAGGACAAAATGACTGGATGCAATTGGGTAAAAATATAAAAATTTACAAACTTTCCTTTCATTCATTTACTGGAAATTAGGGGAAATATCCAAGTGACCCAAAAAACCACACAGGAGAAATATGTGAGGGGAAAATTCCAAGGAGGGAAAATTCCAAGGAGGGAAAATTCTAAGGAGGAAAAAACAGGGGTCTATTTTATAGCCAACATAAAGTAGTGTGCTTCCCATTAATTTATACTAAAAATATTAAAAATAGGCAACCTAGTTACATACTTTAAATTTAAAATATGACAAGACTATCATCTAACAGCTGATTGGTCAATTACAAATGGACTTAATATTTTAATAGTGAGACATATCAGAAACAGAATCAAATTTATATGTCCCTTGGGAAATTACAAAAATTCACAAAATTAACAGAAACATAATAATAGCACACTACCATTCTTTTCACCAACCTACCTAGACAATTAGATTTTACGTCCTTTGACCAGACCAAGGGAACATTGATGTTTTTGCAAACTTTGGACAGATCATCTTAAAATTAACCAATCACTGAGCTGGATTTTTCATTAAAACTTTATGCAGGCTAACCTGTGGATACTCATACTCATTATGATATAACCGCCATCAGATATTCAGTTCACTGACACAGAGAAATGTTATTTTTGTACTGTGTTGTAGATGAGTTAACTCTATATCAAATGATAAATGGTGTACTTAATTCATCTATTATACAAAGTACATGGCCAGGTTATTCACTCAATATCAGACAAACAATAGTATTGGTTTCAATTATGGACAAGAAATGTTTTACGCTGAATCTTCCGTTCCTATTATAACATTGGTCCCGAGGCAAATGAGAAATATTAATTTCTTATTGTACCTATCATTGCTTCAAAGCTACTCTATACAGAATTCAATTACCAGCCATCTCTTTTGGGTATTCATAACCAATAGCAGACAATTACATTCTCCTTGTGTTTTCATAAGGTTACAAAGTGCTGAATGAAATTCAATTGCACACAGTCAAATTCAATTAAAAACAGAGTCAGTTTCGTTTGCATTTGACTAACGTTTTATAATCGATCTGGCTTTGACAGAATAGCAAAGAGTGTCAGGCCAAAGAAGGTGGTTTTGGACGAGACATCCTTCACGGAACATTGCCAATCACTAGATTAGAAATTTGTACTGCACCGTCTTGGCACCTAACGTCTATGTTCTATCGCGAATTTAGTTAAATTTTATATAGGCTTCAGAGCGTGTGCAGACTACATGCACTGAATTATTACTAGTCTAAAGGCTGCTATATATTAAAAGATTAATAAACAGAAATATAGGAGAATGGTATAATAATCAGAGACAAAAATACAACAATGTCTGCTAAATAGAGGAACAACAATTGTATTGTTAAAAAGCACCATATGCTGAGACCATGGTCAGTGATAACAAACCTTGGACCTTAACAAGTATGCTAAGTTTATTAGTCAATTCTATGTATACTAAAAAGAATGGAGTTAATTATAAGCACGATTAGATGCTATTAATCAGTTAATAATCATTCTAGTGTCTAATTAATAAAAATATAAATGTGTGATAAAATAAAATAGATACTTGGCCTAATAAATGCATGAAAAATGCCATTCAATTAATATTAATGCACCATTTAGCAGTCGATGAAAGAAGTCAACGAGATAGTGAAGTGAATAATATTTATCTAGCCTGCTTCAAAACCGCTTTATGCATCACCGTATAGTCTAGGGATAAAAAAATTGGATTTCCGAGAATATCCAGGGCGTTTGATAGCGTACTCTACATGATTTATCAAACCCATCCTGGCATACTACAATTAGAATTCTACTGCCGACTTCATTAAATAAGAATTTGATTTAATCTATCACACTTAATTTGAAATGGAGGCAATAAGATAATTTAGTGTCGCGTTGCGGCTAATCTTTTCGTGGATGATGAAATTGAGAAGAAATGCGCTTAAACAATCCAGTTCGAACAGATATTAAAACCCTTTCATCAAGTACAGAACTATATGTTCTAATAGTTTAGAACATATCAATTTAATATCTCTGGATTTATTTAGTTAAGACCCTGGTTTTTGAATTAACTATTGCAAATTAAATTTTTAGCTGTATAAATAAATGCCCATACATTTCTTACCGATAAACTGCCTGTGTTGAAAAATTCAATTCAATACTTGAAACTTGTGTAGATTAAAGTAAATTAGTTTTAAATTGAGAATTATAATGAGAAATGAGAAAATGTTCTCACTGAATTAAACAACTGTCAGAACTATATGTTCTAATAGTTTAGAACTCAATTTAATATCCCTGGGTTCTTTAGGTAAGACCTTGGTTTTTGAATTAACTATTGCAAATTTAAATTCTTATACATTTCTTATCTATAAACTGCCTGTGTTGAAAAATTCAATTCAATACTTGAAACTTTAGACTAAAGTAAATTAGGGTATGTTCAGACTCACGGAATAAGAGTAGCGTTATGTAAGCGGCATACAAATTTTCGTGTCTGAACTAGACCGCGGAATAGTGTAAGCCAGCTGTTACGCCACGGACCTGGCGTTGTTAAAGCTAGCGTGTAGATTAAAGTAAATTAGTTTTAAATTGAGAATTATAATGAGAAATGAGAAAATGTTCTCACTGAATTAAACAACTGTCAGAACTATATGTTCTAATAGTTTAGAACTCAATTTAATATTCCTGGGTTTTTTAGGTAAGACCTTGGTTTTTGAATTAACTATTGCAAATTTAATTTTTAGCAGTATAAATAAATTCCCATACATTTCTTATCTATAAACTGCCTGTGTTGAAAAATTTAATTCAATACTTGAAACTTTAGATTAAAGTAAATTAGTTTTAAATTGAGAATTAGAATGAGAAATGTCCACACTGAATTAAACAACTGTCATACAAATAATAATTCATTCTTTGCAATAACCTACCCAGTTAACAACTTTACGTTGGCTATTCAAAATATTTTTTTTTTATACTGTAACCACAAATAACATTGCTGCAATGTAGTAGTAATGTTTAAAGATTTTTGTTGTAAAATATCCTAAAATTTACAAACAAATTATTTGTTTCAATCTTTGCATCATTGGACTATTCACTTAAATTGTCACTACCCATACAGTACTTCATTAGTGCTACAAATCTGCCTTTTCCCACACTAACATTTGCAAAAATTGGAATTTTCCCTATGTTAATTGAATTATCTGTTTCAAACATCAATATAATTTAAATATGAATGCAGACTGAACATAATAGATACCACCTTTGATTTGAAAATGTCAGACATGCTCAGCAAACAATGGGTCTGTTTTTCAGATTGTAAACAAGATAATAACATTGGTTTGCAATTGAAGACGTGCGCTTTCAATTTTTTTGTAGGTTTTGCCAAGTACTGCTATTAGGTCAATCACCCCTTTGTTTTGAGTACAGTACCAGCTCTTTGTATACACACTAGGCATAGTGATCCATTCACCTGATACTCAAAACACTGTTTTATCGCTTTTATGCTTGTTAAAGGATACAATACAATGGGACGCGCTTGTTTTGTAACTACGATATAGTACAGTATACCATAAACATTACAAAAACTTTTGTTTTGTAAGCTTTTGCATACATGAAATTCATATATGTATTTAATATGTTTTGGTTTCAATCAAGAAAAAAATACTAATGCTATTATATGTCATGACAATAGAAGTACTTTTATATACTCCTATGTTTAAATGGATGCATTGTGTTTTAATTTCAAATTTAATTAAGAAATTAATAAGACAACCAGATTGAATAAGCACCAGGAGGCTAGACTAGTATAAGGGGGAGTATATAAACAGATGGACCACAAGCTGAGCATTTAGAATGGAATATTGCGCAAGCATGCTAGCCTGGAAAATGTATAATCTGTTATCGATCTGCCCACAAAAGACCTTGGTATAAACAGCTGATCCGAGCACAATCAATACCCTAGCTACAGGTGAATGGTAGAACAAGATTTTAGTGTGTACTATTATTCACTTTTACATCTGACCAAAGGTGAAGTTAGAAGCAAAGTAAAGATGTGTGTCCCTTTAGCAAAAGTGACACCATTTCATCATGTACAAAATTTGAGTTTTGCAGATGGATGGCAGCTGTCTATGAGCATAGAGGAAACAATACGTTATTGTTGTTGAGAACAGTATCAGCTTCTTCTGTCTAGCCAAATGAAAACCAGATGGGGTTTGCACGTGAAACCTGAAATTGAGTTCCTATATAAACGATTGTCCCACGTTACGTTATTATAACAATGTTGCATTTTGGTATAAAAAAAAGGTGGGTTTTTTAAAAAAGTAACTTATTTATAATGTAATTTCTGACTAGATAATGTTGCAAACATTGTTGCAATGTTGTGTTAACCATTTTAGTATCTTGTGCAAATGATTTCACACACTTGGTTAGATATTTTTTTTTTTTGCTGCTGTGCCAGAAAGGAGAGGAAGCACCCCTTCCCACCTCCCCCACCAATTTATCTGCTGATGAATTTTACATCAACCATTAATTTTGTTAGCCATTTATACTGTATTATATTATATTTCATAATTAGAAAAATGTGGGTAAATTGGACACATATTTTTATGGGAATGTCTATAAAAAAAAAATGTTTAGCTAAATTTCTTATGCTCATTATATGAACAAATGGATAATAATAAAATGAATAAAATTAAAAAAAGTAAACCCTGCATATAAAAAAACACACTCATTCCAGGTGTACCACAATGGTTGTATAATTCACACACAATAAAAACTTGTCAAGTTTAAAAGAAAAAGCATTAATCAAGTAAAATTTTTAATAATAAAATATTAACCCCACTTCTCTATTTTTTGACACAACATTCTAGGGCGCGAGTATAAATAAATTGCACAGGTCTTTGCAGGTATCTTCAAAGCATTCTTCTGTACGTTCTGTTCTGCTTACGTACTGCCCTCTATCTGATGGTTGGACCAGATACATTTTACCAACAATTGTCTTTTCTCCATTTAGATGTCCTTTCTATCTGGAAGATATAAAGGAGACACAATTTGCAATACGTTAATTATTTTAACAGTAATAAACAATGCTAATAACAAATGAAGTAATTAATAAAAGTAGCCAAAAAAAAACCCCTAAAAAAAACTAGCAACTATCTATATAGTCTGCATTCATGATATATTCTTGAGAAATTGGCTTTCCGTGAAACCTGAAATTGAGTTCCTATATAAACGATTGTCCCACGTTACGTTATTATAACAATGTTGCATTTTGGTATAAAAAAAAGGTGGGTTTTTTAAAAAAGTAACTTATTTATAATGTAATTTCTGACTAAATAATGTTGCAAACATTGTTGCAATGTTGTGTTAACCATTTTAGTATCTTGTGCAAATGATTTCACACACTTGGTTAGATATTTTTTTTTTTTTTTTGCTGCTGTGCCAGAAAGGAGAGGAAGCACCCCTTCCCACCTCCCCCACCAATGTATCTGCTGATGAATTTTACATCAACCATTAATTTTGTTAGCCATTTATACTGTATTATATTATATTTCATAATTAGAATATTGTGGGTATATTGGACACATATTTTTATGGGAATGTCTATAAAAAAAATGTTTAGCTAAATTTCTTATGCTCATTATATGAACAAACGGATAATAATAAAATGAATAAAATTAAAAAAAGTAAACCCTGCATATAAAAAAACACACTCATTCCAGGTGTACCACAATGGTTGTATAATTCACACACAATAAAAACTTGTCAAGTTTAAAAAGAAAAAGCATTAATCAAGTAAAATTTTTAATAATAAAATATTAACCCCACTTCTCTATTTTTTGACACAACATTCTAGGGCGCGAGTATAAATAAATTGCACAGGTCTTTGCAGGTATCTTCAAAGCATTCTTCTGTACGTTCTGTTCTGCTTACGTACTGCCCTCTATCTGATGGTTGGACCAGATACATTATACCAACAATTGTCTTTTCTCCATTTAGATGTCCTTTCTATCTGGAAGATATAAAGAAGACACAATTTGCAATATGTTAATAATTTTAACAGTAATAAACAATGCTAATAACAAATGAAATAATAAAAGTAGCCAAAAAAAAAACCCCTAAAAAAACTAGCAACTATCTATATAGTCTGCATTCATGATATATTCTTGAGAAATTGGCTTTCAGGCAATGCATTATGATTGGGGGGGTGGGGGGAGGTGAGAGAGGCGTGGGTGGAGTGACATGGGTGTGGTCCCTATCATTGCTCAAGCAAATTTTAAGAAAATGTACTGTGTAATGGCACCCTTAGACTGTGCCCCTTGGTACCTGCTGAGGCCTACAGTTTATTTTGCAGTCAAAAAGAGGATAGTGGTCAAGCATACGTGTAGTTGAATAGTTACAGCATACTTTGATGATCAATCTTAGAATCGAACCCAAGAATCAAACCCACACCCTATAGAAGTACAATGCTTTACCGCAGTGCCACATGGTAACCTTTGAGTGTCCTCTCGTAACTGCCAATTAGAAGTTTCCATTCAAATTCATTTAATTAGATTCCATTTGAGTACATTAATGCTAATTCCTTGCATATAGCTACAAGATTTCCGTTGGGGAATAATAGTAATAGTACCTAGTTTCAGCAACTCAATCTCCCATGGAATCTAAAAGTCAATAATTTCTTAAGGTAATCTGGCCAAGTAATCCTCAGAGCTCATAAGAGCCTTTGAAATGTTATCGAAGAAGATAGAATAATGAAAGGATTATAACGCGTAAAATGATATGCCAAATATTGAAGTTTACATATTCCTAACACACTACTGTTAAAAAATATATTATCCAAGTGTGTTCTTTAAAGACAGTATTCTAATATTGGAAACACAGTTGGCGGCAACACGGATTATTATTTTAAGAATGAACATCTGGATTATTGCAAATTAATGTATTTTTTACAGTTTTGTCTACATTATCAAATTTTATGCGACAAAAAAATGTGAGGTGCCCATATGGGTACAATGATGTCATATCACATTATTATCAAATTGTATACAAACGTGTGAATGTTCAATCATATTTTATGTGACGCTTTTTTGATGAAATTTGATAGTGTAGACAAAGCTTAATATAAAAAAATCATAGTTTACAATATATTTATGTTCGTAATGTTTGAGAACTTGTAAGTGCATAGTGCATGGTCACAACACGGTCTCTATTGTCCGTAACTAAAAAAAAAAAAATTAATATCCTTAATGAAGATGCAAAATATTAACCATAACTGATGCAGAGAAACGGTCACCATCGCATTGTACTGTGCTTGTATTATTTGTCTGTAGTTGAGATCAATGAAGAGCATGGCTACCAGGCATATTCTTTATCATATTTCTTCACACAAATTTTAAACGAGAAACATGTTTATCTTTTGCATTTTGCCAACAACTGTACACACAAACTACAGACTGGGCAAAACAATATGTGAAAATGTTACCAATATTTGACCTTAATCATTAGGCTCTGGCCCGATGGCTACCGGGTACATTCATCCTCATATTTTTCACAAATTTCATACGAGAAACACATCTATTTTTTCCTTTGGCCGACTACTGTAAACACTGAATACAGACTGGGCAAACAATATTTGAAAATGTTACCAATGTTTTCCATGGACCTTGATCATTTGACTTTGGCCCGACTAACATTGGTTTCTAGACGTGTGTAATCAGTTGCAAAAGAGAATACAATTTTGTTGGCATAAACGTGGCACAACACATCCTGTTTGTTCTTTCTCGATTAATTGTCTGGTCATGTCTCCTATTTGATAGGCTGGCACAACCATGCCCATAGGCTAGGGACGCTCCAGAAAGAAGTTTTTCTTGTTTAGTATCCATGGAACTTTATAATCTGGTACGAATTTCTCTAAATTTTGTGAGGTCAGAGGTTATCCGTGGATAAGCTCGTCATCAATAACTCTATCACGCGATGATAGTTTTTTAATATTTGAGATAAAAATCCTTAAATCTCCTCATCACTGCCACACCTTATTAAACATATTTCCAGCCACTTTCAATCTGTTTACAGTTCTGCCAAACATAGATCTAATGTAAATTTAGAAGGTAGGGAACAAAGATTATGGAATTTCGAGGTCAAAGGTTCGAATCCAAAAGGCGAGGAAATATTTTTTTTCCCAAGCATCTTACGTTTATATCATCCTGTAAGAATACTAATGTACAAAATTACACTATATAGTAATTTCATGCAAGCTACAATATATTGAGGGTATAAGCATTTAGTGACTATAGTGCTTTCTGAAAGCTGGAATTCATAATTAAAACAATTTAATGAATATGATATACATATATTATGAATACAGTATTTACTACAGTATGAACAATGTAAAAGCAAGTCACTATGGATAAAATGACTGAAAAACACACCGATGACCAATAATAATCAAATAAATTATTTATTATTATTTTAATTTCCACTTCTTCCATGATTTCAACCTCTGTTGGAAACATTCAATGAATTTCAAACCCCAGTCAATTACAGCACCACTTAACATCATTCCATCCCCCCATTAACACATCAATTCTTTCTGTCCACTACCTTCTCCGCCTCATTAAAAGCATCGTTTTATTTGATTATGAATTTCCTCCTAAAGTACTTGACACTGTGGTTTGGCAAAGAGGAAATGAAAATCATAAATGAAATTATTCTGACTAAAATTCAAGCACCTGTCAGCCCTTCAGGACTGTTAGCTTTGATAGCACTGCTGGTTATTAGACGTCAAGTTTTCAGCTCTGTTAGTTGTTAGCTGTTAAGCTAGCAGCTATGCGATGCATCTGCAGTTGGCGTTTGCATTGCTATAGGGCATAATTCTTTATAAGCTTCTATCAAATACAGTCACTGACACGTAAATAATATTCTACTCTCTACAAACTCAGAGGAATTTAGAAAGATGGGGTTAAGACCTATAAGGAAGGGGTGAAGAACCATGAAGATTATGATGACACCAATGATAAATATGAATTAAGAAACTATGTAAATTTACCTTCAAATGTATTCATAAGATTAATTCAATTCATACAATAATCCATTTATATTATAGTACATTTTGTTAAGTTAAAAGTTCATGACTAAACCCTGTCCAGATTATCAAATTTTTTTTAACAACTGTTGTATGTCCATATATAGTCATGATGTGCCTATATATGTTCATGTGATGTGATGTCATTATGACCATATTTAGGCGTGTAACATGTTTTTGTCAAATAAAATTTGATTGGAGAGGGTTTAACTCTCTCGTGATATTAATACAACATGGCAAACAGGTGAAAATGATGATAAAGATTATAATGATGTAATAATGGTAACACTGTAATGATGACACCGACGAAGAAGAATTGACAATGATAACGATTGCAATGACTAAATAATGAGTCAAAACCTGGATACTAGTCTCCATTACTTTATGTCACAATCACGAAGAAACCATGACAATCATAATGTATACGGCATGACTCAGGCTTACCTGTAATTTGTATATTACATAAGGCTATAGATCTCTATTAAATATACTAATATGCTATATTAAAGTAAATGATAGGTAGCGGAGCAGTCCAAGTCAACATTAATTATGCTATCTGCAACTAAATATTAATCTTGTTTACATCCCTTTGTGTAGCATAATGTATTAAGTACTTTGCTGACTTTAAACTAGTAAAGTAATGACATAGATTCCTTTTTAAAGTCAAGGAGAGGTGCAGTACTATCGTAATTATTTTAATCCCTCCGGCATTTATTGTTGAGATGAGTTTTTGAGGGGGCGTCTATTCGAAGAAGGCATTATTCGAGGGAGGCGTCTATTTTTTGGATGTAAAATGGATACTGTACTATACTCAAATAAACGCCCCTTAATTTTTTTT